TAGACTCATGTGCATGCTGGTACACTTTTCATGTGACACGTCAAATGATAAAAAGGTGAAAATGTTACCTTATCATAAAAGTCAAGTGTCCAAGGAGAAGCCTGTTTAAATTAAAACTAGTTGCAGTCAGGTGATGATTGCTTAGACTTCATAAATGCCTTTTTTATTTACTTTTGTTTTTAAAAAAAACACGTTGATTTACAGAATAAACACACTGTGAACTAAATACATTATTTTAGACAGGAAGGACCAAAAAATGTGCACGTCCCATCAATGACCCATCTACAAATCCACAACACTCAGAGGAGCCCTGAAAAAGACGGGAGTATTAACATTTCAGTAAGTTAATCCGTTTAATGGTGCAAAAACACCGTTATGATCCTTCAACCACAGTGCTGAGTTCTTTCTAGTAACATATCATTATATGCTCTGTTAATGATTAAAGACTTGATCTGACACAGTTCAGCTTCGGTTCATGTGGTGTCCTACCAGAAGTACAGGGTTATTGTAATCTTTGGTAATTCGGGATCTGATTTCTGTTGTTTATAAGACGATAAAGAGAAGCCAGACGACAGTTTATCATATTCAAGAAGCCACAGGGACAGAAATTATTTTAACAGCAGTTTAGCTTCCAGTATTGATTCTGCACTTTCTCATTTGTTTTTCTGTGATGTCTGGCAGCTGCGCTCTGCTGATCACAGCACTTTGAGCCTGAGTTTGGATCTCCTCCCGATCCAATACTGGACTAAAAAGAGGGGGAAGCCCTCAAGCTAAGTGCTGCTCTTTCAGTGTGCTTCATCAGTCTAAATGTCGAGTTGTCATGCAAAAAAACATAAAAAACGTCATTCTGAATTAATTTCATTACCGGGGATCCTCATATATGATGGATTCTTTGCTGAAATGCAGACAAAATAATTGCTGTTGAGGTCTATTATCCAAATGTGCCTTCCCTTTTTCGGCATGCGGCAGCTGTCCAATTGGAAACTTTGTGAAAATAGGATTCGGGTTCAGCCTGCATTCATCTGAGAAGGTTCTTAAAGCTAAAGATAAACTGCACAAAAGGTCAAAGGGCAAAACTAAGAGCATATTTTAGATCACTGTGTGTTGTTGCTTCTATAACCCGTTGACCTATTAGCTCTCCTCATTAAAGTACTCCAAACATTAATGTTTACAATGATTTGACTTTCTCATTCGCCCGTAACTGAGCAACAACAGTCTTATTTTCTGCACAAACACATATAAAGATATAAAAGCATGAAGCAGAGACGTCTTTCAGCTCCATCACCATGAATCGATCAACACATCGGGCAGAATGAGTGAAACACTGGTGAGTAAAACAAGACTTTAAAGAGCTTAACGGCATATGTGTTACGCCGAGTGAGTGGAGGTGCCACGTTTGCCCATTAATGACGATAATTACATTACGGTATTACGGCACTGCAGTGCTGTCACTGCTGACTCACAGGTTTGTGGTTCAAATCTCGTGGTGATTCTCCTGTGCTGCCCCCTGTGACTGCACTGGTTTGACTCTGGCATCCAAAGACGGGCAATTTAGGCTAATCAGTGATTCTAAATCTGCTGTAGGTGTTTGTTTATCTGTCTCTATGTGCTGGACTGGTGGCCTGTCCTGAACGTATCCTGCCTCTCAGCCTGATGGGGTTCGGGTAGGCTGCCGTGGCCCCAAGTTAAGAAAATAGATGGCTTCATTTGGTGTATCCTTTAATCTCATACTACCATCATATAGTACTACTCACATTCTAATACTCATAAAGTAGCTATTATATATAGTGTTTTGGGTTATGTAATGCTGCAGGTCATTTGAGGCACTTTAGACTTAACCTTCTCCGAATAACTCATGTAACCCTTAAAGCTCATTATTCATCATCTCCTGTGTCACCTCCCACAGTCTGACTCCTCTCCAACAGCTGATACTAACACATGAGTCTTCATACTAACTTGTTTTCTGACCCCTGTTTCTGCAGTTACTGAGTTAGAGAGGCGGAGGTGTCAGCCCATACGTGGCGTCTGTTTCCCTCTAGTGGCCAAAGTCTGACATCCACCTGAGCGCCTGTTGTTTCTTTACGCAATGTAGGAAAAAAGGGTATTTTTTGTTTTCTGTCAAACGTGCAAGAGTTTGTCGTCGTCCCCCCCACCCCCAAAAAAGAAGAGAAAAAATTCAAAAGAAAAAAGTAAAGAGCTTAAGCATGTGGTTCATGGTCTATTTCTTTTCTTTTTTTCACTAACCACAGGACTGCTTTTAAGTCTTTTTTGTGTCTTGTTTTTAAGGAGCTGGACTCTGCTGCAGCGTCTGTTTTTGAGGTTTGCTTGGGGGCTTTTACAGAGTACCCCCCCCAAATCGTCTAGTCAAAATAGGTGTAGGCTCCCGCCCTCCACTGGACATAGAAGGTACTACAGGTGGGCTTCGAGATGTCATTTACAATAAGCAGCTTCTATTTTTAATCGATTAGCTAGATTCTTAATTCTTAAAAGATTTTAAAAAGTCAAAATAGTTATAGATAAATAGTTTTTTGTCTTTAAAACTTTTGCAAAGTTTAACACCAGAGAGGATAAACTTAGAATAAGATGCATTTTTACAGGCGGACTTGTTTGGCTTATTATTCGCAAGGGGTCGCCACAGCGGATGGATCCACATATTTGATTTGGCGCAGAGTTTTACATCCTCCTGGCGGGGATCTTGCACATATTACACAATCATTACACTCGTGCTTTGGTTCCAAAAACTGTATGTTAGTATTTTGTTTTGTTTTGTTTTTATCTTAAAGGAATTTTGAGTATAGTTTTGTAATTTGGTTTAAAACTCAAATACATTATTTGGCCTTTTTAAATAGAGCAGAAACTAATGAAACAAAGCCACAAGGTTTTAAATTACTTTACTTTTTCTGACCTATTTATGAGCCTGAACTCATTTTATATCTCAAAATTAGCTGTAAAGAACTGGAAATCTGTTGATGGTGAATCAGTTTTAACAAGTAAAACATCAGAAGATCAAGATTAATGAATAAAAACACAAAGGAAATATTCAGCGACTGAAGGTTCGGGTGTGATTGTCATTTCAAACTGGGGAGTCTGAAGTTTGAAAATGGTTGTCTGCGGCATAAAGTCCATTCAATACCACATGCTCATGCTAAAACTGATCATGGGTGGATTTTACACAGTGGTTTGCCAATGTCTTTCAACCTGACGAGGCCAGGATCTAATAATGTCTTGTTAGTCATCGTGATTGACTACAACTGGTAGTTTCCCTTTGCAAGCATAAAAAGGATTTGTTTCACAGCACTTATTGGTCAATCCGATAAGTGCTGTGAAACAAATCATAGTAGCATCATGCTCTGGAGCTGTTTTGTTACCAGTGTTACTGATACACTGCACAAAGTGGATGGAATAATGAAGACTACCTTCAAATTCTTCAACTTCACCTCAAATCAACAGCTGGATGATATTAAACTTGGACACTTAAGCTGCTGGAAAGGCCTTCCCAAAGCCCAGACCTCTACCCTATTAAAAAAAAGTGTGTACTGCACTTAAAAATATAAATACAGGCCATTTTAAAAGCCAGGCCAGTGAGAGAAAACCATCCATCCATTCATCCATCTTCTTCCACTTATCCACAGCTTGGTCATGAGGTAGCAGCTTATGAAGAGAAGCCCAGACCCCCCTCTCCCCGGCCTGGGTTTGTCCTAGGGCCTAGGGCCTCTTCCCAGAAAACCAAACAATTTAAATGAACTTCACCAATTCTGCCCAAATATCCAAAAGCATCCAGATCATACGCTTACAACTTTATAAGAGCATAAAAGCAAATATTAGCAGCTGTTGTCTTGTATTTTAGAACAGGGGAACAGTTCTTTGGTGTTTGAGCAGCATCCTCAAGGATCACCAGAAGGTGGCGCCCTCTCCTGCTGAACGGTGTTGGGTGGAAACAAACGTCAGCTTATTCTGGAGGGGTTTGGTTTCTTTGTTGTTATTTAATTTAGTTATAAAATCAGTTACACCTTCATGACTGAACGAACGATGGGCTGACAACCTTTGAAATTCTTTCCTGTAAAGTCACAGAGAGGCTGACGCATCTTCCCAACGTAGCATTCAAGCGGTACCGACCGTGTTTATGTGAAATGCGACTTCACAGGCGTGCTGGGACAGGAGCAGGAGACCGTAGGTATGCCCGCTCCCCACCCTCTGCCTATCTCTCTGTTTGGATGTGTTTTTTCCTGCCTGAGGCCACAAATTTCTATATGTTTAGCTCTGTGTTGTACAGGATTTTTAACGCGTACAACACAATGAAAGTTTTTTTTATGATTTGAAAAATTGTGCCACCTCTTTAAAGAGAAACACGCTTCTCTATTTTACGTCCAGATTCTTATAAATGACCTTATCGAGTAATCAAAAGAGATTTTGCGTGGTTAGGGTGGAGCTCTGACAAGAACATTCAGATCCTTTCACTTTGAAATGGTGTCTTGGTCTTTCACCTGGTGTGAGTGTGCAGTGATTATTATTAACCCAAAACATGAAGTGAATCCAAACACTGGTTGTCACATGGAAAAGTGGCAGTGGATTTATTTCATATGCAGTAAAATAAGAAATAAATGGGAAGAAATAAAAACAACAACAACACAAAAATCATAACAAACGGTACCATGGGAGTTTATACAAAAATGGAAATTAGTTGCAAAGAAAGTGACACAAAAACTGAATGTCTCCAACATATTCTGAAAACTTTCTTTAAACTAAACAAAAAAAGTCTTTTAAGCTTTACAATAATCCCAGTTTAAATCTAAATACATGCTATTGGACCTTATTTCTAACATTCAATTCTAACATTTGCATAGGTTGTCACATTAATTGTCAGTTTATTAATAAAGAAGCATCCCGTCCCACTACGCTACTTTGACCCCACCTGCAAATAAACATGCTGAAAACAGTAAACAGGTCTGAAATATGCCCCTTTAAAGCCAGCGCTCTTAAATGAGCCCAGGCCAGGAGAAGTGGGAAGACTACTCCTACACGTAGTTTTTGCCTCCCGCAGGGTGGGACTGGGGGTAGCGTTGAGCCGGCCCAGCGTCCTGCTTGGGGCAGTGGCAGCTGAGGAAGGCCCCTCCGATGATGACGAGAATGGCAGATGCCCAGCCGACGTACAGGGCACTTCCAAACTCATACCTGTGGATGAAACACAACACGCATTGTGCTTGAGTGTTTGAGGACTCACATGGCCAGCTCAATACAAGATGTTTCTGTCTTTCTGTATATATATATATATATATATATATATATATATATATACCATAGCATTTAAATTTGGGTACTAAAAAGGTTAAGTCTGCCCTACTAAACTTAGTCGGTGCTACATGTCAGAGTACCCACTATTAAAGAAGGATTTCTTAAGAAATAACACAAAGTAAATACACTGTTATGTGTGTAGTATGTTTTTTGTGAATTTTTAAAAATGCATAAAAAATGTCAGAACAACACGTGTTGTCTTTGAGCCGATGTGGCACTAACTCAAAGGAGCAGGTAAACATTTCAGGAAATAGACCTATTTCTTTGGTGCCAAGTGTGAAAATGTTGTGGGTTTGCACGGCTCACGCGCCTGAATTTTTGTCGGGGACCGGACTCTTTCATTTCCCTTTGTGTGTGCTGTAATGCTGAATCTTGAACTTTTTTTGGTCTCTGTCACAGAGACAGACTTTTTTTAATCTGATGTCTGTCTGTGGATTCACCAAAGAAACCTTCAGTGATACTTGATAAGGATTGCGGGGGGGGTTCGTGTGACAGAGGAGATGCTCACCTGGAGTTAGTCGGAGTGAATGGATTGTAGAATTCCTTTGCTATGTTGCTGCCAAACCAGGAAGTTCCCGCCAGGGCAAGCAGACCTGGAAAATTGCGAGCACAAAAGCTTCTCTATATTGTTGGATTTTAGAGGTAACTACTTGCGCAGTTGTGTTATCTTTGACATATCTCGAATGCAAAACCTCACATTCTAAAACGATGTTCCAATGTAGCTGTGAATGCAGGTAAAAACAAAGAAGTACTATGTTACACTTTTTTTAAAAACCCATAAAAAGATGATTTAACTCTCACCAGCAAGTATAAAGATAATCCCTCCACTCAGGGCCACCTTATCCTTCAGCTCTGGAGAGTCGCTCATGACCGTAGTGCACTTCATACCCATCACTGCCACCAGGATGGAAATGAAGCACAGCACGATGGACGACACCATCAGCCCTCGTGTGCCCTGTACGTTTCCTGCAGACACAGAGAGGGTACGTTAGTCAGAGCAGGTTTCACTCAAGGCTTACTTCACTAAGAAGTAACTGGGTTAGAGACAGTTGAAATCCCTCCAAACAGGGAGATACTTCACAGCAGTAGCAAAGAAAACAAAATTTTGCACGAGTGCCATTTTATTAGTCCATGTTTAACTGTTCTTTCTTTAACAATCAATCCTCAACAGACCACACATCACCTCTGTTACCTTTCTCTTCTAATCGAGGGCTATTCAGGATTAGAGAGTGCATTTCCAATGCTTCTCCGAGTGTATATACATTTCCAGAAGATTCATTTCTGAGGACTTTTGTGGTGTATTTTAAAAATAGATTCTGTTCCCCACCCCGCCCAATCCACACACACACACACACACACACACACACACACACACACACACACACACACACACACACCCCGACCTACCCTTTAAGCCAGATTGCGTCTTTTTTGCGTCACACTACAAACTTACTGAGAATCTAAATTTAACTGATCAAAACTGCATCTTCCTCATCTGGATGAAGACTCCCCATCAAGTGTTACCTTCAGATTTCTAATCCCGTCTCCCAAGAAACATTGCAGACTGTCCTATCACAAAAACATATAAATCATTTAAGTGCACACCAGAAAAATTGTACTTCTAACAAATAAATATGATTCTGAATAGAAGAGCTCACTCACAGCCTATTTGATCCTTTAGTTTTTGTTTTTCATGTTTTTGTTTTTATTTGTTCTATTCTTTTGTGTGTTGCTGTGTAGTTCTCTGTTGCGGGGCTTGTTGTGCAGTGTTCCTCACATTGTCTCAATCCTTGTTTAACTTCCACTGAATGAATGTGTTTCAGAAAAAAAGGGTAAAAGTGTAAAAAAAAAAAAAGGGGAAAAGAAACACGTCCATCGAAGGGATTATTTTTAATCTGATAGTTGTGTTTTTTTGTAAAAATGTTTACACTTGACTGATTTGCAACACTAACAGCATGAAGTTTAAACATTGTCTTTCATGTCTCTTTCATGACGTAGGTTATGGTATTTGACCAACATGTCTTTGCATGCAGGAGGTCTAAGAAGGAGAAGGGAAAAGGTGCACTCTCCCTTTAGTGACCTCGAGGCTTTGAAAGACCACAGACTTAAACATATTTTTTGTTCATAGAATAACCACAGTTCTACTTAAACTTCTAGCATTGGTATTGAAAGTAACTGTTCAGGTATTATTTGAATGTGCACCATTCACTATCTCATGACATGCTCCCCACCCAGCTAACTACCCCCTTCCACACCCAAAAGATAGAACAAGTATTTGATTTTGGACACTGTGTTACTCATAAACCCCTTATTCTCTGGCTATGACCGTCATCAGCAGTTAATAATAATGAAGAAATATCACAAAAGGTAAAAACACGATGTATATAAAGCAGTACCTGGCAGCTGGAGGAGGGAGTCATACACTTTACACTGAACTTGTCCGGTGCTCTGACTCGCACAGGTCTGCCAAAGCCCTTCATACATCGCCTGAGCCGTGATGATGTTGTCCCCAACGTAGGCTGAAGCTTTCCACTGCACCATGATTGTGGCCGCGATGACGCCAAAGCAGCCGATGAGGGCCAGTATGAATCCGAGAAGCTGCACTCCAGCGTTTGCCATTGTTTGATGAATTAAAATAAGAATTTAAATGAAAATGGCAAAAGTTCTTTGGGGGAGTTTTTTGGTTGTTGTTGTTTTTTAAAGATATAAAGGTGAAAAAATGTTGCTCAATGATGTTCCCAGTGGGTTTGTGTTGGCGAGCTGCTCCCAAATAAAGGCGCCTAATCACCTGTGCATCTTTAAGGAATGACCTGGAGGAGAGGGAGGATCCCAGAATGCCATCAACTCCTGCTGAAGTCAGGAGGTGCAGGGTGACACCTTCTGGCTGTGAAGGTCTTCTGCAAATAATAAAACCAAATGAACCCACACATATGCAGTGAACTCCATTTAAAAATAAAATCTTTTCTAAAGTAAGTAACAACAGTCGGTAAGAGCACTGTGAGCAGCAGTGATCATCTGTCCCATTGTTTGTTTGTTTGTTTTCACTTTATTTTTATAATTGAAGCAATATACAGAAATTCATTTAGTGAAAAAAATAGAAATACTGTAAAAAATAAAGCAAAATATTCTGATTCAGCTTACACATGAAAAAAGGGACAAAGTGCACATTTATTAAACCACTAATCTCCGTAAGTTATCTGTTGATTTTTATTCATTTTTCTTATCAATACAAACATTAATTCTAATAACAGAATATTTACATGCCATAAAATACAAATTATTATCAAATTATCCGCAGATCCAGCTTTGGAACGTTAACCGTAAAATCTTAATAAGAAGGAAGTAGCATAGTTGATTGTATGATTCCTGACATTATTTCACACATGAATGATCTTCTCAGTGCGACTTCTCTCTGATTTACTTGTTCCGTGAAGAAACATTTGCTTTTGCTGGTTTGCTGAATTGCATGATAATCTTTTTTTTTTGTGGCCGGAGCTGACCAGCGGGCAAAGGTTTTTCTTGCCTAACCCACACTTGTGTTGTTGTTTGCACTTTTTGTCAGCTGACTTCCAAGCCCACAGAGAAACTTGTCACAGTGTTCCTCGATCGCTGTAACACAGAGGTTTTTGTTTGCAGTGCATGAGTCTGAGCTTTTTTGAATTTCCTCTTTCTTTGTTGTTGGGTTTGTTTGTTTTTTTCAGTAAAAAAATGGACAGAAATTTGGGTCTGATCCTGCTCCTGCTGCTTCTCTGCCACAAAGGCAGCGGAGAGTTTTGTCCATACCGATGTCAGTGTTTCACTCTGGTCCAGGTGCTATGTGCTGATGCAACAATGACGTCTTTACCAAAGAATATTTCCAGGGAGGTCAAGGACTTTATTGTAATGACTACGGCTGTGCAGTACTTGTTCTCTCACACTTTGGAGGGCAGTCCTCAACTCACCAAGCTTATTTTCCTGGATAATCAACTGAAAAGTATTCACTGTCGGGCATTCGAACATCTGACTGAGCTTCAGGAACTGGAGATCAGCGGGAACCCCTTGGATCATTTATTTCTAGGAACTTTTTCAAAGCAAGGAAATTTGACTAAACTGCTGCTCAACTTCAACAGGTTCCAGACGGTGCTTCCTGGTATGTTTGACTCCTTGAAACAGCTAGAAACTCTGCAAATGAAGGGCAACGTCATATCAGATCTACCTGCGTTTCTTTTCCTGAACCTTCAAAAGCTGCGTGTCCTGGATTTGTCCCAAAATAAGCTTGAGGGAGTAAAAAAAGAAACTTTTTGTGGTCTGGAAAAGTTAGAGATCCTGAAAATGAACAACAACCTCGTCAGCAATTTTACATCTGACACATTTCACAATGTTTCTCAGCTGACAGAGCTTCATCTGGAAGGGAACATGATAACAAAACTTGATGATGGCATCTTTGCTGTGTTAACTGAATTGCAGGTGCTGAATCTCCGTGGGAACCTTCTTACAACCTTTAGCGATAAAGTGTTTGGATTTGAGGGCTCAAATTTGTCGGAACTGAACCTAAAAGGCAACAGACTAACTGAGCTGTCCTCTCTAAGCAGTCTGACTTTACTTACCAACCTCATCCTGTCCTCTAACCAGCTCTCCAACCTTACTGGAGACATTTTTAGAAATGTTACAGCCCTGATGATCCTGGACCTGTCTGAAAACCAGATCACTTCACTGCCCGAAACAATCTTTAATGATCTGTCTGAGATTAGGACAATCTACCTGCAAAAGAACAATCTCAGCACTTTGGATGCCAAACTGTTCAAGAGCCAGGAATTCATTCAGCAGCTCTACCTGTCTGACAACCAACTGGAGAGTCTCCCAGAGGACCTTTTCGACCATTTTATCCTGCAGTACACCGTGAGGCTGCATGGAAACCCTTGGAAATGTGACTGCCACATATGGTACCTGCATGACTGGGTGTTGGAAAACAGCAAAACCATGGAGATGCTGGACAGGGTGGTATGTGAGAGCCCAAACTTTTTGAAAAAACGGGCGGTCATGTCCATCAACAAGGATCAGCTGGTCTGTCATTTGTCCAGAGATGAGATGCCAGATCTCAGCACCTGTAGCCTCCAAGCATCAAATGGCATCATGATCATAAAGTGTAAAGTAGATATATGTTCTCCACTGACAGTGAAGGTACAGTTTCAGAAGGAAGATGGCAACATTAAGGAACATATTGTGAAAAATGAGCATGAACCCTCACAATGTAGCAACGAGACACTGATCGAGAGCCCCATTCAGTAGTTTTCAGACTTTTTCTGGGTGCAAATTGTTTCACACTCAGAGTCACGTTATATGTTCAGTGACTGCCAGAGTCAATACTCTAAACAAACCTCTAACTCACCAGCTGACTAGTATACATAAATGTGACTGAATGATAAGAAAGGTGGATGAACCTTTTTTTTTTTTAAAAAAGTTCAAAGTTCAACTCAATTTCCAAAGATCCTGTCACTGCTCAAAGAAGCAATGAGTGAGCTGTCAGTCATCTGCTAACACATGCTTTTCCTGTGATTAAAACTCCAGTAGACGTCAGTGCTTCTCTCCTCTGTGTAAACTGCCAATGCTAGTCCCCTCAAACAGAACAGTCATCACTGACACAGTGCAGAGTAGTTATGAATATGTTTTTGTTTTCAGCAAGTTTGAGGTTAGTTTTCTGTGAACAAATAATTGAGTAAAACGTAATATTTGCTTCATGAAATTACTGGATTGAATTTTCAAGGCAGGAAAATTTATTAATCCTTAAATCAGGGATAGAAATTGTATGAAGAGTCTTGAAAGGCATGTGGTGTAAAAATCACCATACGAGCTACCATGAAGTGAAGGCCATCTGTTATCCCTGTATCGGTGTTGTTCCTGCATCATCATCATCATAAGTTTCTCCAGGACTGACTTTGCAGCTAACTAACAATTGTTGTCTGTCAGCTTGAAATGTGGAATAAAAAAGGGGGGGAAATGTCTTTGTTTATATAAAACTGTCTTCTAGAACAAATGGAAACAATTCTAGGTGTGTTCTTTATTAATTTATAAAATATCATATACTGGTATGTATTATCAAGCTAGGTTTGCTGTCAGCCAAATTTAGCTTTCTCAATGTTGGTTTGCTAGGGATAGCTTTTAATAGCGGTAGCTAACTTTTTGGCTAATGCTAACTCAATTCTCAGACAACATGACTGATGGTCAGTTGTAATGCTGATCCTGGACTGACATTGCTATGATAATGTCAGAACAACACCAACCCAGAAATATCAGATCACGCAGCAGGCTACACCATGAGCTGGTCACCGGGCTGTCACAGGGCTAACACAGTGAACTTTTGGGAAATTTGAGCTACACTAGCTTGTATGTAGATCTGACCACACATGACAGCCGTTGCTCCCCATGTGTATCACTGAGCCTTGGGCACCCATGACTCTGTCACTCAAATCCTCACACTTGCTCATTTTTTTTGCTTCTAACACATAAACTTTGAGGACAAAATGTTCACTTTCTCTTTAATATATCCCACCCACTAACAGCTGCCACGATGAAGAGATAATCAGTGTTATTCACTTCACCTGTCAGTGCTCATAATGTTATGCCTGATCGGTGTATGTCATAAGCTAACTGTGGCTTGTTTACCTAATATCATCATCAGAATATGATCATAGCAACCGGCAGTAAGAAGTGCAGTAATTTTCTGCAGTGGAGCAGAAGGGCAAAGCAGCTAAATGAATATACTTACACTATTGCTCAAAAGTCTTGAAAAATGTTTTTATATTCAAAAGAAAAAGACAATTTATTTTCATTTGCAATAACAAAAAATGATTACAAGTGTTCCAACTGATCTATCTACAGCATTTCTGTGTGATCTGATTGCTCAGAGAAGTGCAGCCTATTCAGTGGAGATGAAGTGACAAAATATTAGTTTTCAGAAATTTCCCACATAGAACGGGTTTCATTTCTTAGAAGAGACAGTGATCACACCCACAAAACGCCCACAGACTGTCCAAAGAATAGCCAAAGATCAGTCACCAGATGAACTTGATAAACTTGCTTTAGGTTACGCAATATACCACTGGATCACAGGGGCGATCTTACTGAAAACAGGCCTCTTTGTGTCTATGTACATAAACTATGTACTGAATTTATGATGTATGATTTGAGTAATTATTCATTTTCACTTAAAGCATTTCTTTAATATTATTATTTATTTTTCAAAAAATTTTCCTTCTCTTTCTTTTAAAAACAGGAATATTTCAAAGTGACCCCAACCATTTAAGCTGCAGTGTGCATTACATCTCACCACTGCCTTTGGCACGCACATATATTGAGGTTTTTACTTGGCTGTGGAGTGGGTGGACTATTCATTGCAGTTCTTCAAAAGTATTTCGGTATCAAGCAGCCATCCTCTGATCAATCTCACTGCTGCTGCACACTGGGAGGGATAATAAAGATTGAGGGAGGAGGAGAGCCCCAGCGCAACAAGGCACACAGATGGCTACACCTTGAATACAGCACTTTCACCCGTGGTTAATAAGGGTCAAATGCCAAGGGGTCAATTGGGTCCTCGTTTTGAGGTGACTGACATCCCAATTCAAGTGGTGGCATACTTATTTCCAGAGTTTGGAGGGTTGTCCTTAAGCTGGAGGTAATCCTCACTTGACTCAAAGTCTGAAAACAGAACATTTAATGTTAAAAGTACAGCTAATGAGCAGAACGAGATATGGAAGTCGTTAAATGCATATCTCTGTTCAGTGAGCGTGCTGGCATTTAAATGAATAGAAAAGAAACTAATAGGATGTGT